ATATTTTACTAACATGAAAAGTAACTATTTATCGCATTGAATAAAATTTGTAAATTGAGACATTCTCTGCTTTATTTATTTTTCCTTCTCTAAGAGTCATTATAAGAAGAAGAAATAAAAGATTTTACCCCAGGAGGCACATCTAATTCCGTGCCCATGAGTAATTCATTAGAAATTTTGTGATTTTTATGGAAAAAAAGATGATGAGTATGTGGTAATACAAAACCGTATAATGTACTGTTTCAAAATTCAAAGGCTCTGTTAGCATCGGGATCAGGATTTTACATTCAGTACAGTTCATACTTAAAGTTAATAATGACCTTCAAAACTTGTTCTTATTTGTTGCTGCTGAGTTAAGAACCGAGTAGCAGAGGAGAAAATGATGACGTTGAAGTCACAGCAGGGAACTTATTCTCATTTCAAGTAAAACTCATTTGCTCCTCAGTGAAACATACAATTTATAATATTTTATATTGCAAAGTATTTAAATGATGTAGACATTAAACTGCTATCTTCAGAAAATAATTTCTTGAAAACATTATTCTTTCATCTCTCAGTATTATCATAAAAAGGAATACCATTTTAATTTTATGGTGTATATTGCAAAGGTTTACATTTTTATAGGCAATTTTAGGGGGGAACAATAGAAACAGAAACATTTTGGCTAATAATGGGAATACATTACAGAATTCAAACTGAAAGTCTGTTATAATCATATTTACATAAATATGTTGGATTTCCATATTGAAAATGTGTTTTAATAGCTTGAGAGAAAAGATTGTTAATTAATCCAGCTCCAATATAAATGACTAAGTGGATAAAATCTAAATTTTATTTCTGCTCTTATTGTAGATAGTCAGAAAAATTTAACTATTATCAAGGAAATGCTATCCTTTCCCATTCTCTATTTTGTAATATCTAACTGTGTCCTAGCAATTGAATATAAAATAACAAATGTTTTCCAATGGATTCTATTACAAAGGTTTCCAACAGATTTGATTACCCTGTAGATGTAGATGTATAATAGGGAGACCAATTGGAATGTGTATGTTTTAAAGTTATTTTATAATGGAAAACTGTCAGGAGGCAAGAGAATTGTGTCTGAATCTAGATACCTTACTGAACACTATAAGAATAAAGGCCAAAAAAAGACCAGAATCTCATATATGAATTTATGTGGAAAATGTCAAATCCAAAGGAATGTAAGGTCAAAATATCCCTCCTAAGTCTTAAGTTTTACTTTTGAATATAGAATGTAAGTACTTTCAGTTAAAATTTTAAAAACTCACAGTGGGCCATCTCTTCTGTGTCATTAAAAGGATGCTCCATGAGGACAGGAAATTGTCTGGTTTCAGAGTTAAGAGCTAAAACTCTCTTCTGAAATGTCAAACATCTTTCTCCTCAGTTCTTTCCATTTCCCCCAATACTTAGCTTAATTCTTGATAGGAACGAGGTTGGTAGCCAATGCTATCACAAAGCCTGGGCTTCCAAGTATTCTGATCTTCCCTGTTTGCCTGAGCTACATTTGAACAAGTCCTTTTCCCTTTGTGTCAGAAGATACAGCCGGGCCCAGTGGCCCATGCCTATAATCTCAGTACTTTGGAGGCCACAGTGGGACGGTGGCTTGAAGCCAGGAGTTCAAAATGATACTGGGCAGTGAAACAAGACCCCCATCTCTAGAAAATGAAACTTTAAAATAAATAAATAAACAAATAAATATACCGGACATGGTGGCGTGGCATGTGCCTGTAGTCCCAGCTGCTTGGGAGATTGATGTGGAAGGATCACTTGAGCCCAAACTGCATCTGAAGAAGAAGAAGAAAGGAAAAGGAGGAAGAGGAGGAGGAAGTGGAGGAGAAGGCGGAGGAGAAAGTGGAGGAGGAGGAGGAGGAAGTGGAGGAGAAGGCGGAGGAGGAAGTGGAGGAGGAGGAGGAGGAGGAGGAGGAAGTGGAGGAGGAGGAGGAGGGGGAGAAAGCAGCAGCAATTCCAAGAATGGAATTTTCAAAGGAATATTTGCCAAGAAATAAACCTCTGTGTGTGTGTGTATGTGTGTGTGTGCATGTGTGTCTGTGTGTGTGTGTTATGGGAATGAATACATGACACTGTCAGGAACCATGCATTTAATGCCTAATACAAACTATCTGACAAATGGGACCTTGTTCTTTTCTGAGATACAGTTTTCCCATCAGTCCCCACTTTAATGAGTATAAAATGTTGTTTCTCTTGCCCCGGCTAATTTCACACCCCATCTTACAATAGCTATAACATTTAACTTAATTTCACTTACTTCTTTATTTTTGTATTTAGAAATATATTACCCAGAATATCATCAATATAACAGTTTTTAAAAAAATACTTTGTACATCATTAAGGAAATAATTTAGATAGAATTTTATCTCAAAGTAGTAAAGAATAAAATTTTTCTGTATTCACATAATGAGGAACCCCTCTTTCTTTTGTCAAGGCCATTAAAGGTCTTACTTACTAAGCCTGAGGGCTACTTGTTCAAATTCCACCTTACTCAAATTCATTTGACTGTCAGGTGAGGGAAAGAAATCCACATGTAAATTAAATTAGTTTCCCCTAATGTTGAAGAGCTTCTTTTTCCCAATTCTGAGTATTTGGCAAGATAGAGATAATGTTTAATTATATTTAAAAATCTAGGTTACAGATTTGATATTTTTAAAAACAGATGCTGAAATATATTAAGATCCCCTAAACGTGGCAGCCGTGATAGGAATTTTTGAAATAAATAATTAGTAGTCAGCCTCTGCATTTTTCAGATGCAGGTCTTTTGAGGGATGATGAGATGATTTAGGTAATTTTATTATTTATTCTTTTTTTTTTTTTTTTTTTTTTTTTGAGATGGAGTCTCACTCTGTCACCAGGCTGGAGTGCAGTAGCGCAATCTCGGCTCACTGCAAGCTCTGCCTCCCGGATTCAAGAGATTCTCCTGTCTCAGTCTCCCAAGTAGCTGGGATTACAGGTGCCTGCCACCATGCCAGGCTAATTTTTGTATTTTTAGTAGATACGGGGTTTCACCATGTTGGCCAAGATAGTCTTATCTCTTGACCTCATGATCTGCCTTCCTCGGCCTCCCAAAGTGCTGGGATTACAGGCGTGAGCCATTGTGCCTGGCCTATTTATTCTCTATCTTTACTTCAGTAGTACCAAGCGAGGACTGAGGCTATTCTTGTACCCCATACATGTAAGCTGTAGTAAAAAAAAAAAAAAAAAAAAAAAAAGGCAATGGAACTTCTTTTAATAACTAAAATGTTTTTTCTATGCATCACTACTAAAATAATTTTTTTTTCATATACTGTGTGTATTTATTTATATTTTTTCCTGGGTAATATCTTAAGAATCTTGTGCAGTTCCTACCCAAGTGTCATATCTATTCAACAAATAAAATATCTTAGTTTTAGTATTGTTATTTCAGAGTAATTGAAATTAATATAATCTTAAGAGGAATATAAACTTTATCTTACTTCAAATCCTGCATCATTTTTATGACTTTAAATTGAAGACTGAAGGCATCTGTGTTTACATCAATGTGAAATAAAATTCTGTCTTACTAAGAATGACTAAGTAAAAATTAACTTTGTTCCAATGTGATTAGATTAATGGAGAATGGAATTCCTAAAATAAGACGATTCATTGATTTATATTACATTGTATCTCTGATATAGTGATATAGTGTGATATATAGTGTGTGATATAGTGATATAGTGTGATATATAGTGTGATATAGTGATATAGATATATAGTGATATAGACTGATATAGTGATAACATCTCAGTAGTTTCCTTCTGTAAATATATGGTAAGGTGTTACAGTTTTTCATTTAATATATTTATAAATTAAATATACGTTTCTGTCTTCAAACAGACTAAACCTTACTTTTAGTCATTTGTAAACATCAATACATTAACATCAGTAATCTAGATACAAAGAACTTTGAATTAAAGCATCCCTCTAAAAATTATTTAATGTGTGTGTGGGGGGTGTGTGTGTGTGTGTGTGTGAGTGTGAGAGAGAGAGAGATTATATACTCAAAATTTAGGGGAAAGAAACAAGCAATAATGATGAACCAAGCTGATATGCAGGTTTTACTTACAAATATAGCCCCATGCCTGCCTGCCTTGAGTCAGTAGATGATCAAACCCAATATTTTTTATATTTATTACTGAAATCCTGTACAAATTGAATTGTTATTCTGATCATAATTCTACAGTAGTAGAAATGACTTCAATTATCTCAATGAGTCCATTATATTAATTAGAGAACTTTGTAAAACGTTACCTTCCTAGAGTCCCTTGCTTTTTACAAGTCTCCTCTGCTTGTATTTTCTTATTTAATTCTTGCAGAAATCCTATGAGTAGGCATAGCAATTCCTGTAACACACAGGAAGAAACTGAACCCAAATGAATTAGGCTATAGAACCAAGATTACACACCTAAGGTTATAGACTCAAGACTTGAACTCAAATTCTCTTCTAACTCAAATTGCTCTTTCCCCTGTGTTGGCTGCATAATGAATTATATATAGCACAAGTGTTAAGAGCCATTTTAGAATAGAGATAATTTTCATGTGTCAAAAAAAAAAATAAGTGTTTTTAACTCAATGTAAATTTTTAAAAATCAGGCTGGGTGTGGTGGGTTACACCTGTAATAGTAGCAATTTGGGAGGCCAAGGCAGAAGGATTGCTTAAGCCCATGAGCTTGAGGCTACAGTAAGCTATGATTATGCCACTGTACTCCAGTCTGGGCAACAGAGTGAAGGTCTCTCAAATAAAAAACAAAATTCAAAAATCCAAAACTATAAAAAATCAATTAATTCCAGTATTCCTTTCACTAAATAGTCTGCTTAATAAAGTTAGCTGTGTTTAAATGACCACTCATTACTGATATTTCACATAAAGTGTTGACTATTTCTGAGGTTTTTTCACAATAAATACCTAGCACGAAAAATGACCATTTAAAGTCCTTTAAAACACTTACATGCGATTTACCTCTTCCAAAGAAAAATAGAAACTCTTGGTTCTGAGAGGAAACAAATAATGTAGTACAAATATTCTTGAAGCCAGATACCTACAGAATAAAAAATAAGAAGAAGGAAACCACTTACAGGCCACATCTAGGCAGATGCAGATTTATTTTATTTGTAAAGAGCATCTTTAGATATTTAAAAGAAATTTTTTTTTTTTACTTGCTCTGAATTTTTCTCAGAATACTTAGATTATCATTTGTCATGTCAAGTCAAAGCATTTTCTCCAGACCTTAAAGTTAGCAAAATCATGTACTTCATCAAATAAACTGAGGCTTTTGGTTGCCCTGAACACATGACAAGTATGTTTGATGATTGTGACATTTGATCATTTTCAAAGCATATATGGAAGTCCCTTGTTGTATGTCAGGGAGAGCAATGAAAGGATAGAACATGGACTTACCACGCCTGTAGATATATGACAGCTGAGAGAGAAATCTGTGTCGTTTTGTTTGGATTTGGAAATTTTTTAATAAGACAAAATAGAAAAAAAAATCTAATGACAATGTTAAGGGAGTTGTTTGGTTTCGTTGAGTTGAATTTATTTCCATAAAAGTATAGCTTCTCTTTAATGGGAAATGAATTGCTTTCGTTTCTTTTTTTTTTTTTTTGCCAATGAAATCATAGCTATATAAACAACCAAGAAGTGGAGTTGTCACATCATGTGAGCATATATGACATAAATAACTTTTGAAGTTGCATTTCAAAACATTTTGGAAAGTTTATTTAAATTGTGTGAAAAGCATAATTATGAGTACTTTGCATCCTCTGTTCCTGGCAGTGTACCACTGGTCACACATGTATCCTCTAGTCACTTAAAAGTCTCTTCTGTCCAACTCCACGTTTACTGTAAGGAAAAAGAGACACTTCTGCCCTGGGAAAAGAAAATTGCTCTTTTCATCTAGTGCAACATTTAATTATTATTTGTTACAGTCTAATTTTAGAAAATATTTTTAAAAACAAATCCCCATTTTCCTATTTTCTGAGAAATGAGCATGTGCTCCAACATACTATTTTAAAAACGGAAATATTAAAATAAAATCCTGAGTTATTTATTTAACTTATTGAAATCTTTGTTTTGGGAGGATATACTTTGTTAAATTGTTCCCTTTCTTTTTGATCCATAAGCAAGGAAACATTTTATCTTTATAAATGGAATATTTCAAGCCCAGGCTTGGTAGCTCATGCCTGTAATCCAAACACTTTGGGAGGCTGAAGTGTGAGGATCACCTGAGGTCAGGAGATCGAGACCAGCCTACACAACATGGTGAAACCCTGTCTCTACTAAAAACACAAAAATTAGGCCCACATGATAGTGCATGCCTGTTGTCCTAACTACTCGGAAGGCTGAGGCAGGAGAATGGCTTGAACCCAGGAGGCAGAGGTTGCAGTGAGCCAGGATGGTGCCACTGCACTCTAGCCTGGGTGACACAGCAGGACTCCATTTCAAAATAAATAAACAACCAAATAAATAAATAAATAAATAAATATATATATATATATATATATATATATAAATGGAATATTTCTAGTTAAAGATACATTCAGTTTGAAATAGGATTATGTGCATATTATTTTCTTATTGTAATATAGCAAAGATAATATTTATCATTGAACATCATTTTTTAGTTATTAGTTCCTATCATTATGCAGTGCTATGGGAATGTATCTATGAGTTAACACCTTTTTAAAAAGAGGTATTGAAGATTCTTAAATGTTGCCAAACAATAAATGTATCATTTGAGTACTAGACAGAGGTGCTAGGAAAGAGTAGGAAAGTCAAGAATGGTAGCATTTGGGCTCATACTTTGCCTGATACTAGACTCTTTATATTTCTATAACTCATATAAATTAGGAAATATTAAGTAATCAAGGGGGATCTAAAGGGAATGTCAGTAAGGAAAGAGACCATGACATATGACCCTAGGATACCCAGACAAACCAATTCCATCCAGTAAGTAAGAACCAAATTGTTTATTCTGCTTTTTAAATTGGATATGATATAATGTATTCCAATATTAGCAACATTTATGAAGATAATAATTTTAATATATATTAGCATATAATGAAAACAGAATAAAGCAACTTAGATTTGTTTTGAGAAGGTTTTAAAGTTTTTCCAAACACATTTTTGGTGATTTCCAACTAAAATTGAGAGTACCTCTTTCTTGTGTGTATTAATATCATTCCCTATTATTCCCCAACGTGTTCAGGTTTATTCCATTGTTCTGACATAACTGTTAGCTGCAACCTTCCAAAAGTGTCCCACTAAATAATATGAATATTCTATAAGGTAAATATCAACTTCCATTGAATGTTATGTTTTTCATCTGCCCTGTACATTTTTTCTTATGTGATTTTATTGGTGTTATCTATGAAGGAACACTGTCTAATGTTAAAAGTAGAGCTTTTTCCACTGAAACAAGCATATTTGTAAAATTGCCAGTTGAAATGAAATAAACTGACAAATAAAAGATTTTAATTATACTTCCTTTTTTTTTAAAAACTTTATGTCTGGATTCTGTTGCTCGCCTGTTGTGAAGAATGTGGTCATTGCCTTGAATGTCTATTGAGTTGCCAGTGTGACAAAATTAAACAGTTAGGTCTCTTGTGAGCTCTCAGGTCTGTACTTCCGGCAAGATTGAAAGAAAATGTCACTCAAGCACATCCCTGTGTGAGATATGCTTTCTCCTATCTGATAAAATAGAATGTAAAGTTTTATTTTTCATGGAAACTGCCATTTAAATACTTGTGACATCTTTTATTTCATGGAGAAATAAATCCTCAAATGTAACAGCACAACAGCAAGATTGAAATGTTTATGGCCTAGAAATGCCATGAGTTATAAGTTTCGGTGGGGTTTTTTGGAATACCAATATTTCTTAAATACATCAAAAAATCAACTTTTCCTTATAAACTTTTCAGATACGGGAAAATTTGAGTTATTCTAAATTGAAGAAATAATTTTGATTCAATTATGCAGTATTCATTTTTGTAAAAATTTAAAAAGAAAAGAAGAAATCAGCTGTGCTTTCTTTTACATTAAAGTGAAATTTTAACATCCAGTTTCTCAATTTTAAATTTCAGGGAAAATAACCTATAATAAAGTTTCATGTTTTAAAAAACATCTCAGTCAAATATAATAGTTTTAGAATATAGTTCCACTTCGTTTGCTTTATGTCAATTATTATTTTACTTAAGTTTATGCAAAAATTATTAGTCTTCATTTTAACAACAAATTGATAGGTCACCCAAAACATGATGCAAGCTCCTAAAAACATTGAATCTTCCGGAATGCATTATTGTATCTATTTTAGAAAGTTCAGTGCTTCGTATGAAGTGTTCACTCCATAAATGCTTCTGTACAGCAATGTAGCAGGCATAAACTTGATCTCTTGGTAACCTTGAGGTTTATATCCTTAAAAGGTGGGAAACTAAAAACAAGTATTAGACATGGCTGTATTACATAGACAAGAAAATGAGGTGACACATTAAGCCATCATTTCCACTGAGGACTATATTGACATACTGCATTATTTTAATCTTAATTAAAAATAATTGTGCTGTGTGTGTGCTTTCTTAGCCTTTAATTAACATAAGCTCTTCAAAACCAAAGTGGCAGCGTAATAATGCGTTCCTAATTTATAGTATAAATGGTGGCCCTAGGGAAAATGCATTGCTGTAATTCCCTTGTAGGTCTATGCTGATGTCACATTGCTGATGAACACACCAATCAACCAGAGGATGAACGGGGAGAAAGAAAACATTAGACATTATTTATGTTATTTAAAGTATTATATTTTTGGTTTTGCTATAACGCGTGCCAATTACCAGTTGATAGTGCATTTTCTCTAACACGTCTGTGTTCATGTGTGTGTAATTTTATCTTATTTTTGTTTTGGGTGGAATATAGTGGCACATTTCCCAATCAGGTAAATCTGCAGGTGACAGTCAAGTGAATTTAAACACTATCGTCTTTAATTATAATTCCAACTAAATAGCCTGCAAGTAGTTAAAGAGAAATGGATGATGACTGTGGTAAAGCAGACAATTACAGGTTATTCAGAGGGACAACTAATGTTAATTTTCTTCTCTTCCATGAATACCTTTATTCAGTCTGTGATTGATGATCTGCATTTTTGTAAGAGATCATTGGGGCAGATAATTCAAAATAACAGATGAACCCCTAAATCATTTATATATAACCTTAGAAAGATTTCTAAAACTTGGACAAAGAGTGGATTCACATCCTTATTTCTTCATTTAGCTAAAAGTGCAGTGTGAGGTGACCCAACAAAATTCAGGGTAAAGTGGGAAAATCCTAAAATTTTCGATTAAGTTACACATTTGGGACTTGCCCTGAGGTTGTTCTGCTTACTTCTCTAACTAAAAATCTAGTCCCTGTTTGTTCTTGATTATTTTGCTGATTTATCCTAAACCAAAGACCAAATACATCATTATAGGCCAAGAATGGTTCTGGTTCTGCAGGTTGTACGTGAAGCATGGTGCTGGCATCTGGTTCGGCTGAGGCCACCGGAGGCTTACAGTGAATCAAGCAGAAGAATAATGGGAGCACGCGTGTCACACAGCAAGAGTCAGAGAGAGGTGCGAGGCTCTTTTAGACAATCAGACTCTGCAATAACAGAGTGAGAAGTCATTCATTACTGCAAGGACCGCACAAGCCATTCATGAGGGATCCACCCTCATGACAAAGACTTCCCACTAGGCACTAATCACGTTAGGAATTACATTTCAACATGAGAATTGGAACAAGTATCCAAACCATATCAGTTATTAATCATGGTTTCCTCCGCTGCAAAAGCCTCAACAGCTACAATTCAAACGATTCCTATGAATGTTCTTGATTTTGTAAAAATCTGAATTTCTTTACATTTCGATTTTTATACCGGATTCAGGGGTACACGTTCAGCTTTGTTACAAGGGTTTATTGCGTTGTGCTGAGGTTTGGGCTTCTATTGATCCCATCACCCATATTGTGAACATAGTAACCAATAGGCAGTTTTCAGCTTTCGTCCCCT